CCCAAAATCTAAAACCCTAAAAGCAAACTTCAATATTATCAAATATAAATGTACTAAAAATCAAACAAAATAAACATATAAATGAATTTTTAGATTCTACTAAATCTGAAAAATTAAAACAAAATCACAAAAAAATAGAAAAAAATTGTTTAAAAGACTAAAAATCTGAAATACATAAATATTTGATGAATATCTAAACAAAATCACATAAAAATAAAAATAAAAGTGACTGAAAATCCGTGATATATACAATCCAGAATGTACACCATAATCGGTGATTTTAAAAAGCAAATCCAAATAAATCTTAGTAAATAATGGAAATTGCCTTTGCCAATCGAGAAAATTCTTGAATTAATATAGAGATTTTGTTTAACAATCGAGAAAATTCTTGAATTAAAATAGAGATTTTGTTGAACAATTTGTGAGAACCTTGAAGAAAGAGAAGCTGGAAAACGTGAAAGGTGGAGGAAAGAAAACGTTAAAAAGGTGGGGAAATAAGGGTAATGGGTAGTGGTGTAATTGTTTTTTTTTAAAAACGGTTATTGGTTTAGAATTTGGTCCAATATAGGATTGTTTTGATAAATAAAAGGAAATTTAAATAATAAAATCTGAATACAAATTATTTCCTAAAATATTGCCATTCTGACATTTTAAATAAATATTTTAAAGTGTTGTTGTTTTGACTAATTATGTTAGGTATTATGACTTGATTGCTAATTTTCCCAAGAAAAAATTATCTATTTTTAACCAAAAATATACCAAAAAAAAATAGCGTCAGACAAATAATGAACAAAATTCAATGTTCATACCAAAATATAACATTATACATTTTTAAAAAGAACGCCATAATTCAAATTATTATACACAACAAAAAAATCTGAAATCAGTATACAAATTTCATATAATTAGTATGCACATTTTTCATGCCAAAATTATACCTATTTCATGACATAAATCGTCACTTTTTCACAGTAGAATCATGCCACTATAATATCAAAATAATACCACTTTTAACTATTAATTGTCATTTATTAGACAAA